CTCTTTCTTGCGCGCGCGCGCGCTTTCGCGATAATAGCCAAACTGGAAAAAGGGAAAAGAGAAATAACGAATGCTCTTCGACGAAGAAGAAAATGCAAAAGACGAAAGGAGAGAGAACAAAGACGAAGACAAAGAACTGCAACAAGTAGAGAGAGACAAAAAATGCGGACAGGCAAAGGCCTCCTCCCCGCATACGCTCGTCTCGATCTTAAGACCAGAGAGAGAAAAGGCAGAGAAGAGAAGCAAGACGAAAAACCGCAAATGGTTTGAGATTGTTGATGAGCGGACAGAGAGCGTGCCCCCTCCCCCCCCCAAAAAAAAGGACGAAAGGAACTCATAAACAGACACGACATCAAAGAGTAGCTAGCTGATGGAGCGAACACCGAAAAGAATAAAACACGGGGGGGGGAAGGGAAGGGGGGGAAGCGGGGGAAGGGGAGGGGGAGGGGGGGGACTGGGCGAGCAATGCAATTATCAGAAAAAAAGAAACGAGGAGATAGACAGCGAGAGAAGGATTGAGGCAAAGGAGAAAATTTCAAGTTTCTTGACTTCGCATGGTAAAGACGGAATAAAATGGCAATGTTGTGATTGAACTGGCAAAATAAAATAAAATAAAATAAAATAAAGCACGTGATTACATTCGCAGAAGGAAAAAGGGATAAGCAGGAATGTGAGGGAGGACAACAGACGAAAAAAAAAAAATATATGGAGATAAAAAAACACAGAAGTTCAGGAGAAACATTACCAAACAAAACTACAGGAAGGAGCCCTCGACCTCAGTGCGGCAAGGCACTCTCTCGTCTTCTTGTCTTCCCCCCCACGAACATAACGCACCCTGATAATAAACGTATTCAAGCTAACTTTCCAGTCCGATACAGTCAACATGAGGGTGCGTCGTATTCCGGGGAAGAAGGAAGAACGAGAAAGACGTAAGAGGGAAGGAAGCAAGACGATGGAGAGAAGAAACGAAATGTCGAAGAGAGGTACAAAGAGAGGGACCGCCGCCTTCAGCCGCCAGTCAAAGAAAAAAAACTGGAAACACGGAAAATGAAAAGCTGAGATCCACTAAAAAAAAAAAAAAAAAAAAAAAAA